AAAAAAGGGAAAGAAACCCCACGATTCCCAGTGGTTGTCCATGCAGCTGGGAAAAAAAAAAAAAGTAAAAAAAAAAGTGAGAATATAGATATTCTAACAAGACGGAAAATAAGTGAAGCTTCTAGTAACAATAATTCTATGCAAAAATGAATGTGATATCAGCCAAGATGTTAGTATGGTTACTAAGAATACACCATAGAATTTTGCAGAGAGATTTGCTTATGGATCATGTTATACATGCAAACAGTACAGCACATGCTGCTGCATACCCAGAGCCCAACAGTGTTTATGAGGTACAGTTACATCGGCACAGCCTTGCTGAAGTTAATTGAGGTCAATGCATTTGCACGGGTATGGCTAAGAGAAGAATTTTAAAATTGCGCTTCTCAGAAAAAAGTGTGTATGTGTGAATATTGGCTCCAGCTTTGGAGGCCTGTTCTGTCTTCTGCTCACTTTATTCTACACCATCTGGTGAAGCCAAGAGATCACAAATATGTGTAATACAGAGGAGCTACATGCCCTTGGTAGCAGTCAACCAAAAGATAAGCATGCAAGAAATCCTTATCACATTACCTCGAAGGATAAAGAAAACAGAGGAGTGAATTTGAAAGATATATCAGGACCAGAAATATGATAAGGAGTGTAAAATTTTGGAAGTGGAAAGTCACAATGCAAATAGCATTTTAGTTCCAGAAAGATCCAAGTCGTCACCTCATGCTGATAATGTCAGGAAATCCAACAGCTCAATCTTTGGCAAGCGCAGGCAGGAGGCAACAGCTCCAGTCCCAGTGAAACAGTGGTGAAGTTCCTGCATTAGGCACTGGTGTGTTTTCTGTCGATAAAGACCTTTCACATCAACCTGAAACACAAAGGCCAATTGGCTTAGCAGGCAGTCAATATCCCGGGCAGAAAGGAGCTTGAATCGGCAAGTACTCAAGCAGATAATATCACAGACATGAATCTGGGAACCAGATTTATTGTCTTGCGTGAGTGTAATCAAGCAATCTTTATCTTCCCCAGGGCAAAAGCCAAAAAAGAGCATTAACAAATAGTGCCCTGTCACGTAGGTGTCTGAAGCAACTTCTTTAGTAGATGCCATATTTCCATTTCCAGTTGTTGACTGTACTTTGAAGGCGAACAGTAGAACAGAATAGAGAGGACAGACTAAAGTCATCCTATATAGAAGCTGTGGGGGTCGCATTTATTGGTTAAGTAGCTGCATATGTCCTCTGAGACTTCAGGCAGGATAGATCCTGTATGTTCCCTGCTCATCCAGCCAAGCCTGATTAGTCTAGTCATTCAAAAATACACTCTTCCAAGGGAAAAAACCACCCACAGCCTCCTAGTAATGTGAATTACATACGTCATCAACATACCCCTAAACCTCTTCTAGGTATTTCTCCTCTTCTTCAGAGCCTAGGAGGCCTCATCAAAGGACTGCTGCCGAGAAAGCAGGCCCTGGTCCACATCTTTTACAGAGGACGTGGGGAATGTATGTCTGCATCCCATCTATATCAAATGCAAAAAAAGTATTGGATGAACCCTTTTGCCTTCTGCATCGTTATTAGCTATTATTAACATCTTTATTTACTATCTCCACCTATTAAAATAAGATTAAACCACTGCTAACATTTCATTGATGCCTTATGCTCTAAAAGATTCCTCTTAGTTCTTCTTGCCCGCAAGCTTACAACCATTCTGAGGTGTCCTTAATTTCGCCAAGCAGTTTGCGGTTCTGTATAAAATCCATAGCAATTGCTGTTCCTAGTTTTTCTAGGTATTGTACATAGTTGCTCTCAGTTTGCCACTGATCCAGAATGAGGTTTGGGCCAAAATTACCTTCCTGGATGCTAGAATTATGGATTCTGGCCTATTAAAAAAAAAAAAAATCTTCTTAAAACATTTCCAGTCTTTGTCCATATTTTCTACTTGCAACTTTTCTCCCACCTGATTTTACACACTTTTCTCCGTAAGAGAAAATGAGACCTTGTGAAGCACCAATTATATGTACTATTGATTGGGACTAACCTTTGCTTGCACATATTATATGTAATTTGGCAATGATCACTTAAAGAGACTCTAGTATTCAGTCTGCTAATTAACAATTATCCATCATAATGAAGTCTAGAATAGAAGTATGCCATGTTTGACTCCGTATCTTTGTGCTAGAAGATAAAATTTATAACTTTCAGAATCAGTTTGCTCAGAGCCTGTTCTATAACTTCAAATTGGAAATAACAGGTTTAATTTATTACAGAAATGATCCTGATGAGTAGCTTAGTTTATTTGGCTTGTGGTCTATAACAGAGTCCAACCCATACTGCTGGATGGGTTAGCCATGACAACTCATGGATCATTAGGCTTTCAAAAATCGGAATTAATAGCAGTTCTAAGATAGGTAACAGACAACGATGCTAATATAGATTATCTCAATTTCATCTCCTTTGTTCTTTCTGAGTAGATCATCATCACTGACTTTTTCTAATGCAAACAGTTGCATTAGATTTCAGGTAGGAATGTGAATTTTCATTCTGTAGGAATTTCTGTTTTCTCTTTCTTTTAACACAGATCTCTGACTTCGGTGCATATCCAGCTGAAATGTTGCTTTCTTTTATGTCTTTGTAGTTTTCAGCTTGGTCATAAAAGTCAGTTTGTATTCATAGTGCATTTGATGTCCCAAAGCTGACCCTTTATATTTTCAACCTGTGCTCTCCTGTATATTCTCTTTGGTGTTTGAATAAGAAGGTGATGACACCTGCCTATAAGTGAGCATCTGGGAAAGCCATTAGAGTCAGTTTATACCACAAGGAAACCGGGATGTATAAATCAGACCAGTGATCCTAAAACGGGTGGTTATAGCAGAATTGAATTGAAGTATAGTGTTTGTTTGGCACGGCCTGAAGATAGCACTCTGGTTTACTATTGTTGTTTTCATAGCATTTCACTGCAGTTGAAAGAGTAATCCAGTGTTTTCTAGGCGAGCTGCAGATTGCAACCTAATTGTGTTAAGCAGACGGACACAACTTACAGAAATGTATCTCAGACTGACTTGCGAAAATGTGACTGGATATCAGCTCTCCTTCCCAGTCCTTCAGCAGGAGGTGTTGGCTCAGAAGTGGAAAATGTCTCTGAGATGAGCAGTCCCTCTGAGTTCAATTACTGCTCTCTGCGGTGGCACTGGGGAATACTCAGGTTGGTTACTACCAATTTAACCTCGTAGCTGCTTATGGGGCCCATCGGAAAACGTTCCACTTTGTACTCAGCAGAGATTTTGGCTCTGTGAAAGGACAGTTTTCATGCAAATGTTTCAGGACATACCTTTGAAATTATATTCTTTTATTGCTATTCTTAAACAAAAAATACCACCGATGGGATCAGTAACGGGGTGAAGCAGAAAAAACTTCTTTTTTTAATTTTCCTAAAGAAGGCAAAGGTAATTTACATTTGGATTCTCCTGTTCTTCCTTGAGAAGAGTCCCAACCTATTGACTGCGATGAAGACTGTTTTCCTTTGCCTTATCTTCTCTCCACTTAAAGTCATTAGTTAAACTTTCTTCAGTAGCATGGAACCTATTATTTATGCAGGAGAATCCCATCATGTTTTGTAATTTTTTTTACAGCAAAGTGGCATGTGCTTTTAGAAGAGCAGCTCACTGAACTATATTTTCAATTTCAAGAATTCGATTTAGGGTGCTCCTTTTCGTATTTATGGCCTCAGCTTAGCAGCTAAGTGCATGGACTGTACACTTGGGAGGTTCATTTTAGCCTCCAATTAGGGAAACTGGTGCCTCAGCTGAAGCAGTCAGCTTTGCAGACCAAGCCTGTGTATTTGCTAACCAGGTTTGCAGACCAAGCCTTAAATTTAGTGCTGTGAAACTCATATTAGCTTTTGGTGAAACTTTATACTGAAAGTGAGGCCTCAAGCCCGTTAGAGAAGTTAGAAAGACCAGATTTATAACTTGCCCTACTGCCTGAGAAATGTTTCAGGATGCAAAATAAAATGGGAATTTGCAGACACAGGTTTTTCCCTAGATACTTAAATGAGACTAATCCCTCTTTTCATACAAAGCTGTACACCTATGCACATTGTCATCTGACCGACGCAGCTGTAAATTTAGTGTATTGTATTTTCAGAAGAGTGCAGAGTCAGTACATTTGTTTACTGTATAAAGTATGTGTAAAAGAGGTACACAAAGAAAAAAAAAACAGGGAAGATTCTCTTGGTTTTTCTATGTTTATATAATTGCTTCCTTACGCACTTGTTAAAAAATGTCTATAGTTGTTTTTAAGTGTCTTGCAAATTATGAGTGAACTGTCACATCTTGTGTGAAATGACAAAAAAATGTATGAAGTCTTACAACATATGCAATATTTTCCTTAATTCCCTTATTTACATTGTTCAGTATGTTTATTATGTGCACTATTTTAACTAATTGTGTGTTCATGGCACAATCAGAGACTCCGTCATGGAATAAATATGTTGAGTAAGTATCCTCGCTGGTTTACAGCTGCCCTCTAAATAAGTCTTGTCCTTCCTCTTCCATTTGTTACAGTCTTCTTTTCATCGTTTGCTGTTGTCTAATTTCTTTCCAGTAATACTGACCGTAGTATCCGTCCTGACAAAATATTTTGCCTGGTGTTTGTTGCTTGTAAAAAATCCCTTAGTAAGACAACTAGCAATTTTTAGTCTACCAAGATACTTATTGCTAAATGCATCTGCTATGCTATGTCTGAATGAAATTGCGTATGGGGAGAACTCCATTTGAAACTGGCTAACCTTCCACAGTTCCCATGCAAGAGATTTGCTTGTTGGACATGTCAGAATAGGCTGATGGAGCTGAAGTTGAATTATTTCAGAAAATCCTTCCTGGACATACTTGGTTTTATCCTCAAACTGAATGAAAGCTATTGGAAGCAGAAGTTTCTTTTGGACTGAGCACATCATGAGAAGTGTTCCCCTGTAATCGTTGGTAGGCGTACTTTATGAGCAAGCATAAAATTGTCTGTGAACACTTTTATGAGGATTCCTGTCTTTTTAGCTTCAAAAAAATAGCAAAGATTTCACTTGAAGGTTTTCTGGTTGGTTTTTTTTTTGTTTGTTTGGTTGGATTTTTTTGTGGTTTTAGTTTTTTTCAAATAATTTTAAAAGATACTAACAGGCTTCAGAAAAGCTATGTCATTTCTTTAAGTTGCTTTAATATATTCCTGTTAGAAACAGATACCAGATGCACAAGCTAATCAACCTACAGTGCATTAAACAATTATTTTGGCTCATTGAACCAATCAGAACACACTTTTTATTTTTGACTGACATATGATAAACACAGCCATCTGCTGCTTCGTAGCCTGGTGGTTGGTCTACTCAGGGCTGTAAGGAAAGACAGTAAAACGCCCTTATTTTAGGTTTCATAAAATCATGCAGGGCACATCTTCTAGGCCATAAATTACTAATTATAGATAGCACTGAACCAAATATTTCATCCGATCACAATATCATCCTAATCCCAGGATGTTTCATGTATTTCTGTATAGTGTACTACCCTCAAATATGTCTGTGACTTTCTTTTTCCCCTGATGTTGTCCTTTTCTTATTGAAAACTGTCACGCAGTACCATAGCCATGATGTATTCGGCTGAAACATGGACATCTCATCCATGTGAGTCAAAATTTGGTCAGTGGGTCTACAGCTGGGAATTTGAACATTCTGGAGGAAAATATTGAAGTGCTTGTTGTGTCTTCCATAGGCAGGAAATGTGGATGATGTTAACAGTGCATCAAGTGGGGCATGCAAGAAAAGTAGAGCAGAAATGCAAATGGACTCGTGCAGCATGGAGTAAATCCTTTCTCTTCCATATTTCCTCTTCTTCTGCATCCCATCATACCTCTCAGCTTTTCCTCCTCAAATGCATAGAATGAAATCAAAGGGAAGTACTTTTGAGAAGCAAAATAACCCAATGAACTTTAATTCAAATTGATTAATATTGGATTTGGAAAGGGTACATTTAATCCATTTTGTTCGGCTGTTCCAGAGACTTACAGGGGATACAAAAGTAACCTTCTGCAAATCTTTGTCCTAGATCTTCCCTCAAAACATTTTTCTTACCATTTTGAAAGAAAAGAAACCAATTCAACTTAACCCCATGATTATTTTTTTTTTAAATCCTGACTTGTGTCGTTAAAGAAGCTGTTCAGTTGCTGGAGGACTTTGCCCGATCCATTTTGAATTAGATGATGATTATACAATCAATTAAACCATCTGACATGCTGAATAAATACAAGTGGTTTATCATTTTAATGAGCTTATGTACCGTTAAGTATTTTTTTTAGTTCTTTGCATGTGTTTTCTGCATGTATTACTGAATACATATGCTTAAAGAGATGGTCACATGGGTGACCTATATTTGAAATATCAGAGCAAAACTAAATAGGAGCCATGAAAAGTCAGATACAAAACGATGCTTAGGTGTATGGTCAAAGAGGACATGTGAGAAACATTTAATGCCCACTGTTGCACAAAACCTGTCCCCCTAATCTCCATTTGAAGATGAAGAATACTGAGGTTTTACAATGTGTGTAACTAGCTCTACTGTGGGATGTGTGACAGCAGGAGGGTGTGAGATTTGCCACTGCCTGCATGTGTGCCCAGTTACAGACAGAGGAATACAGATAAGAGAAAACATTTTCTTTTAAGCATAGTGAAATTCTTCCTTACATTACCATCTTTAATTGCTTACACCTTTTTTTTTTTACCAAACAAGAATCCCAGCTGTTATAATTTTTTGTGTGTGTGATGGCACTATTATACCTACTGATGTTTAGGGGCTGAACAGAAAACTCAAACTCATCTTTCCAGTGAAAGCCCGTAACATCATCACTTGTGAGATTTGTGTTTTATGGGATTTTAGGTGTTTGTTTGTTTTTTGGTTTGGTTTGTTTTTGGTTTTTTTTTTTAATAGGCTTTGGTATCATCTGCATCTTCATTTGGAGAAAAGGGGTATGGAATGCCAGTGGTGGATACTAAACATTTATTACTTCTATTAAGATATGGCCTAGAATACCTAGTCCCGTTGGGCTAGATGTCTCGGGTAGAAACATTTAAAAAGAGGTACATGCCCTGAAGTATGTCTCTGATAGTCAGTAGATCCCTGGGCCAATACAGATCTGAATAAGTCAGGTACATTACTGTCCTCCACAGAGAATTTGCTAAATTTTATTACAAGCATCATCTTTATTACAAAAGGTAAGATGTATGTTCTATCCAAGATCATCACAGTCAAGAGGCTGTTGGTAATAAACAACCTATCTTACTAAGGGAAAATACCACCTCGTGTCTCTTTAAATGTAAAGCAGGTCAAAATTACTACATATAGTATTCAGGTGGAAGTTGTTTTCCTCTTTTTCGGTAAGGGAATTCTGTTGTTCAGTTCTGAGGGCTGGTGTGATGTGCCATAGATAGTGAAACACAAGGGAAGTTGCAGGAAAAATACCCTTTTTAGCTAATAAAACCAAGTGGTGACATTTTTTAACCTGCTGTCCTTCAGTATGTCCTGGGCAGGAAGAGATGAGAGGTATGAACGGAACAACTGTCCTCCTTCAAATCAGAGAAACAACAAGGAATGTGGCATAATCCATTCCTCTTTCACTGGCGATTGCAGGCAGAGCTTCAAAAGTCCCACAGAACAGTTTAGCAACGTAGTGTTATTCATGCTTGACTTAATGAGTGAGGATTCATCAAGGTACACCCTGTGGTGAAAATTACCTTCCTCCTGCAGCTGTCATGAGCACTTTCCCATTTCTTACATGTTCCTTGGTCCACACATGAAACTGCTCATACACAGCCCAGTGCTGCAGCCATGATTCACATGAGCAACCCCAACGAGACGGGCAGGAGGGT